CTTACAATCTTTATTATAGAAATTAAATCCTAAGATTATGACTCTTTGATTGTGTTGTTTCAATTAAAAATTACTTCCTTTGATAAAAAAAAAATACCTTTTTGAATAATTAAGGATAAAGGGATTCAATTGAATGGTTTATCTTTTCATTATAAAAGAAATAACCTTTTACACTTTTACAAAAAATGTACTTAGAGTAGTCAATTCCTTTAGTAAAATAGTCAATTCCACCTTTGATCTAGTAAGTTCATAACAATAAAGTAGTCAACTACCTATTTATTCCAAAAAATGTTCATCATCAAGTCAATCAATTTCCATCTATCGTAATCGACTATTTTAAGCCTTTTGATCATCTAGAAGGCTATGTATACAATAACAATTGACTTTCATAAGAATAAGAATAGACTAGTCTTGATTTCCAATTATGGTAGTCGATTGCCTAACTTAGACAATCGATTGCTCCCTTATATGTTTGAGTGCTAAGATTTTTCTTAGTTTCTATATAAGTATAGCTATCAACTATTTCATGACAGTAGTTGACTGCCTTCGTTGGCATTCTAAAACAATTGAATCATTATGATATGGCAGCTAACTACTCTCATGGACAATTCTCTAACATAAATTCTTGTGTTTTTTAGAACATGGAATTCCTTACTTAGATCATTACATAGCTTAATATAATTCTTTTTATGAAATTAAGTTTTTGCTTAATCAAACTATTTTCATATTTAGGAAATATTTTTAACATATTTTTAAAATGTTTCTAACAAAATTAAGCCTAACATTGTTTCAAGAGTTGGAAAAGCCATCTCCCATCTTTCATGAGTTTTAATGCATTTAAATAAATATGGTCAAGTGAGTTTTAATGCATTTACATAAATATGGTTAAGTGAGTTTTAATGCATTTACATAAAAATCATAATTTAATAATAATTGAAAATGCTAAATTTTTATTGGTGTTCAAATTAAAAGTGAGTGGTTTTAAATAATTGCATATTTTGATGGAGAGTATATATAGAGGAAATTAAAGAAACTACTCCTCTCTACAAATTAATGTATGTATTCCTCCATGAAACATTCTATAAAACCTAATGAGGTCCTACAAGATTGTCAATTTTACATATTGATTGCTTCAAAAAACGTTACATGAATCAATCTATGCTTTCTTTTATCAATGAATTTATAAAAATCAATTAGTTTTAGATCTTGAAATTAGGATTTACGCAATTAGAATGTTTTGCATAATTATAGAAATCCCCAACATGAAGATTATTGTTCTTTTTTCAATTACTAAATTATATGTATACTTTTGCTACAATAATTGTTTTTATCAATTTTGAAAATTGCAATTAAAGCACCCCTTCTATATTTCTTTTATTGCCATGTGATCAAGAGTTTTGTGTGTTCTCTATAATTTTATCTTTTGCTATGTGTCTGAGTATGATTGAAATTGTTCTATCGTTGTTACTCGTGATCTAGCAATTAGCAAGGCCCATTTTGATCACATTTTATGTTATTATTAAACCTTATACTATTTCAAAAAATTTAAATAAACCCCTATTCTTTTATCATACCTAATTAAGCTGTCGTAATATTATTATTTTTAACTAATCAAGCCTTTATTTGGATGGAACAAATAACTTACATTAACTCTCTTAATAGCCTAGCACCAAAAAGATTACATAAAATTATTAGCTGACTTGGCATGCAGGCATTACGATTTCTTTTTCTACGTTGTTTGTCCTTTTTGCTTTCCCTCCCATTTTCCAATCAAAATGCCATTAATTTCTTGAAGAATGACATCGGATTGAACAACATAGCTTACCATATATTTATCTTGGGGCAATGTAAGGGCAAAAATCTCACCTAAACATTAGATTTGACAATAACTCAAGTGTAATCTTTATGATTGTGCCATTTTTTGGGATTGAAAGTCATAGGATTTTAGGCTTGGCTCCATATCAAACTTAGCCATGCCAGATCGGGTGGCTTTTGACATTGAAAATGGTGATTGATCTAGCATTTAAGCATATTCTAGCATCATCTTCCAAATCACTATCAACATGAGGCTATTGCACTGAAATTTTGAAATATTCCTTTCTATGGCTAACTTTAGTTGCTACAACCCACTTTTACAATACCCTTCTATTTTTCTCATTATCTTTTTCTCTTCCATCAATCGTCGCTACCCTTATTTTTATCATATATCTAGTGACACAAATTTTTAGACAAAATTATTCTAAAAGCTTAACCTTCTCTTCACTTAAGTTTCGCTCTGAATTTTCATGATGAAAGTTTTTGTTGCTACTTGTTAGTGTTGTAAGCTAACATAATGATGTTTTTTTTGTCCAATATTTGGTAGGCAGTGTTAATTGAGATTTTGGAAAGGTTGTTAATGGATAATGAATAATAAAATACAAATTATCCAAATATATAATAAAATAAAATAGGAGAAAAGAAAAAATGAAAAAAATAATTCTTCATGTAATTTTTCATGTCAGCATGCTACCTTTTCAATAATGTCAAATAGTTAATTGTCTATATGGCTTTTTTCCATTTAAGGTTACACATAGTTAAAAATAACATGACGAGGGCTTGATTAGTTAAAAATAATAGTATAATGACTTAATTAGAAGTGATAAAGGAATAAAGGTTTACACAGATTTTTTGAAAAGGGGTTCTATTTGCACCTCATGAACTACTAACAGGGAATTCTAAATACACCCCTAATTTTTCTCTCTACAACCCAACATTTGTTTTTCAAAAATATCTAAATTAAAAATACCAATTTATCCTTTAATAAATTATAATTTTACCCTTTTTCATACCATGTTAAGACTTTTGAAAATCTATATCCAAGAGTTTTTTAAGGCTCTCGAAAATCCATTTTTGAAAAGCTTTCAAAGCTTTGGAAATGAAATTTTGATAAGCCTTCAAAGTTATCGAAAATGGATTTTTGAAAGCCTTTTAAAATTCTAAGAAATTTATTTCTGAAAAGCATGATTTTGACAAAAAAAAAAAATTTACACTCCATCACATTTCATTCAATGTTTAAGGTTCTTGTAAATAAATTTTTAAAAAATTTAAAAGGCTCTCGAAAATGAATTCCCAATAGCCTTTTAAAGCTCTAAAAAACCCATTTCCAAGAAGCATAATTTTGATGGAAAAACTTTGAGGTTTAGGGTTTTAGGGTTTAGAATGAAGAAAATAGTTAAAAGGGTATGAAAGGAAATGTGATTTTATGTTAGATGGGGTTAGACCTACTTATGGATCGAGTCAAATCAAGCCTGGTATGATATTTTAACATTTTAAGTAAGCCTAGGCTTAGCCCAGCTCCATTTTTCGAGTCTCATTTTTTGTCCAAACCCATTCCTACATGTAATAATAAAGTTTAGACACACCCAAAACATTGGTATTTAAAATTGGAGAAAAATTTTTTTTTATTTTTTTGTAAATTTATTAATTTAACTAATTTAATTATTTTTAATTGAATTTATAAGTCATTTAGGCTTGGGTTCAATTTAATTTTGTGGAATGCAATTTCAAATTGAATCATATATAAAGAAAAAGTGGATTTTATCATATTATGAGTAATAAAACAAATAGACCTTGTCCATTATAAAAAAATAAAACAAATAGGCTTTGTCCGATTATGGTAAAAAATATTTTTTTAATTTTTAGGTTGGGCCTAGGCCTTAAATGATGAAACCCAAGCCCAGTCCTATTTTTTTATCAAGCATCATTTATTTATCCAGACCTATTTAAAGGATTTACTATTCATGTCCAAGCCCTTCAAAATTTCGAATAAATTTTCAGGTTTGAACGAGCTATCTAACCTATGAGTAGGTCTAGATGGGGTGTATTTAAAATAAATAGGAATTTTATTTTGAAAATAAGGGGTATTTAGTTATACGGTGTAAAGAAAAATTTTATAGGTGTATTTAGAACTCCCCTTAAACAATACACCCCAAAATTTTTTTTACAAATTTAACCTTTAATCAAATTATTTAAATATTCATTAGTCAATTACATTTTTGTCTTTCACAAGCCCTTCTTATTTTCTTTTCTTCTCCTTCTCAAACTAGCGGTAGCTTTCTTTTCTTCTTCCTAACAACAAATCATATTATTGTCAAAATTCAAAACCAAAATTTATAATATCTTGTATATTGCCAAAACGGAAAGCGAACTTAAGAGAAACAACTACAGCAATGAAGATTTGGAGATGACGATTGGATAAGTGGATTTTTGAAAATTGATATCTAAAAGCTTTTAAAAGCTTATAGAAATAGAGCTTTTAAGAATTTTCGAAAATCTATTTCCATAAACTTTCAAAGTATTTCGAACATCCATTTTTGAAAAGTTTTAAAAGTTTTTGAAAATCTATTTTTAAAAATCTTTATTTCTGAAAGCTATTAAAGAATTTCAGACATCCATTTCTAAAAACGATTAAGAGCTTCCGAAAATAAATTTCTAGAAGCTTTGAATCACACCAAATTAAATCCTAAATTTTACCAAATTTTTTAGCTTCAAATAGGTAAATTTTCCTTTGAATTTAGTTTCAAATTTTTAAGGTTTACAATTGAGAAGAGTGAAAAACGATTGGGTGTAAAAGAGAGGAAATAAGGTTTGAAAGAGGGAAAATAAGGTGTTCGTATGTTTTAATAAATTTTAGTTTTGAGCATGAGACGTGATGAGTAAAAAATAAGTTGTTAAAACTAGTAAAATATGTTGAGTAGTAAATAATAACCATCCTTTTTGAAATAGTATAAGGGTTTTATATATATATATATATATATATATATCTATTTAGCCTTATGAAAATGTTGGTAGTTTGGAATTAACATTTTGCCCCTAATATTCTAGCCCTACCATTTAACATAATTTTAGCAATAAAACTTTTTTTTAAATCCTTGTAAGAAAATGCTTTTAGCTATAAAATCTTAAATTATGGTATGAGAGAACATTTCGGCGGTTAGAAAATGCTCCAAGCCCCTTATCTTGGGCATCTTGAGTAAGAATCCTAAGATGGATGAAGATTCATATGAAAAACGATTACCTACCACACTTCAACTCAAAATCCTTATATACCTGAAAAAAGAAATGCTAAATTACACCATAACTATAAATTAGTTTGGTGCCATATCAATTACAATGAACATTTCTTAATATAGCTACAAGAGTACATGCATAAATATAAAAATATATATATTTTTCATGCACCAAATTTGGACTATGGATATATTACAGAACAATAATGCATGATTACCGGCTGCTCTTTAGAACATTTTCCCTACACCATCCTTCCTTGGAATAGATTCATTGACGTCCATTCGATGCCAGTTCCCGACCAATGGAGCCATTTGGTCAACCTTGTCAAACAACCCAAAGAGTCCACCTGTGTGTATGAAGAGGACCTTCCTGCCCTCCCACTTTTTTGGATTCTCAGCCATATCTTTCATCATTCCATAAGCAGCTTTCCCACTAACCACAACAGAAAACTAAACGACTTAAGAGAAAATCTTCTTTTCCAAAATAGAATCTGTAGATAAATCTAGGTTTAAGAAAATGCTAGGTTTTCATTGCACCATGCTAATTATCCAACATGTAATTCAAATGTTTGATAGGAGGATTAGTTTGATTACACCAGCTATTTCATCAAGGAATGTACTGGTATGGCTAGATTAGTTGGCTATTTTGCCAACCGCAACCATTATCTTTGGCCTGTGTAATTGCTATAGGTTTTAAAGTATAACTTCTCTACTTTACCGTAAAAATCATTAGACTGTCTTCAACCAAGTTAATTTTTGAGTTTCCCTATACAATATAAGGTTTGTGACCAAAAGAATAAAACCTAAATATCATTGCAACATCACACCTACATGGGAAAAGAAAGCAACTGAAGAAATGGTTTTCCTCCTTCATTGACATTAGGTCAATAACTATGAGAAGTTTCTAGTTTGAAAAAATAAAATTTATTTAGAGAAGGGAAATAAAAATTGAATTGCCAATGTGTAGAAATTAACTTTATACCTGTAAACTGGGTCAAGAACAACACCTGTTGCTTCAGCAATTTCCTTGACAAATTTAAGCTCCTCAGATGTGTTAATTGCATAACCTAGTCCTTTAGCCTGCAAAGAGACATGAATTTCTACAACATTTTACATACTCCATCTGATAAACTACAGCAAGTTAATGGCATCTATCATATTATCGGATGAATTAAACTGAAACTATGAGAATTTCACTCCATCTTAGGCATATAATAAACTAAGCAATAAATCAAATAGGTAGAGCCAACAAATCAGGTTCTGAACTAGAACAACCAGGCCGACCGCCCGACCCAACCCAACCCAACCCAATTTCACTCCCAAAGAAACAAGCCAAACCACCTAACTCAAACCCAAAATGACCCAAATCTAACCTGAAACTTATAAGGAAAATATCCTCGAGTCAATGTGAGAGATGCTGCAAGATTTTAACAATGAGGGCATTTCCTAAATGTCTACTATAGCAAGCTGATTTAACGCTGTTTTTGGTGGGCCTAGTTAGTGAGTTTTCATGCAACTTGACTAGCCCAAGTTGTGCCTATAAATTAAACTTCATCTCCAAGATTAGTTGGTATACTTGAAATATGGGGTAAATTCCATTCATGGTCCTTAATCTTTTATTTTGGTAACACTTTAGTCCCTAAATTTGAATTATTCCATTTGGGTCCCTATCCTTCAAAATAGCTCCATTTTGGTTCTTTTTTTTAACATAATTTTGTTAATAATAAAGGGCTTACGTTGCACATCACGTTGCCATTCCCTTAGCATACCATACGGACATTTTTCTCAATTGTTAATAAAATAATGTGACAAAAGGACCAAAAATGAAATAACAGGTCAAGGGCCCAAATGGAAAAATTCAAAAGTTAGGGATTGGTGGCACAAGAATAAAAGATTAGGGCCCAAATGGAAACAGTATTCCAGTAAGTTGAAATTTCAAATATAAAAAACAGTGCTACTTATACTACTTGTTTGTTGTTGAGATTGAGTTCCTGGAACAAATTACTGGCTTCAAGCCTATTCTAAAACCCTGATATTTCTGCGACATCAACAAAAGCAAACAAAACCGAACAGAACAAATAGTTCATCTCCATCGTTGCAACATGCATAAAACATAGAGTAGCGTAGGGAAACTACAACAAGCTGGGTGATGAAAAGGAACAAATAATGCCTGAAAACTTTCTCAAAGAGAAGTCTGAGGACTCATAATACAAGCACCAACACAAAATGAAGAATTCACTCAACATCCTCACAGAGAATGAATATTGCAGAACTAAAAGAGGCATTTAAATTTAGCACAGCCAAGGAGTATCATTTACAATATCTTAGAAGATAAAAAAAAAAAAAAAAAGTAAATGATCAAATGGATCATATTAAATACTCACATTTAGGATGCTAACAATATCACGTGCGTCAACACCTGCTTGAAGTCCATCAATCAAGCCTTGAACAAAGTCGTAGAAGTAAATGGGATCATCACAAACACAAAAAGCATGAACCTAAATTGTCAGTAGAACATCATATAAATCAATTTGCTTATGGAGAAATGTAAGTGTTAATGTATAGATAAGAATACGCACTTTCGCATTCAATGCTCCAAGCCATGATCCCAATGAAAGACCAGCAACTGTACCCCCACTAAAAATCAATAAAATAAAATTGTCACTCAATATTGTCTTTGTCTACAACCTGAAGCCAAGCCCAAATGATAGTCAACATAAAACCTTAATTAATTAAATATCACAAGTCTGATCAACCTCGACAGGCATACAACCGCACTTCTCCAAAATGGATCCACAACTTAAATTCCCATAAATAAAAAAGTACAAGATGAAAAGGAAGTAACATGTGTCAACACCACACACAGCAAGAACAAAAAAATAAACCAACTAATAGAAGATATATCTCCTACAAATGGAAGCTTTCAAGTACTGTCATGATTTTGAATTAAAAATAGTTAAACAAGACCCTTCACCAATGGACACTGACATCCAGAAGAGATGACACCATACAAGCAGAGCCTTCAAAAACGCCACTGCAGAAGACTAAGAGCCACAACTCAAACACCTGAGATGTTATACTCATAAAACTGGGGTCATACTTTTAAAATAAATGCTAGTAGGACCCATACCTCAGTTAAGGTCAAGCTTTAAATGACAATCGAAGATATTTTAGTGTTTGCAAAATAGGGTATGACGGAGTTTTGACATACAGCTCAAGGTTTTTTATCACACTTGGTTTGAAGTTCACTAAAGAATAAGAGAAAAGGGAATGAAAAGGAAAGTTTAGTAAAAAATGTATTTCTTTATGTAGCTAGGGAAATTGGATTGCATTTACATATGTCAACCTAATTTAAAAAATAAATTTAGATTAGCTACTCGATGAGAGTAGGCAAAACGTCTTTATAGCTTCTAGCTCTATCTGAGCTTTTATATCCACCAAGCCAAAACTTCATTTGCCATTCCTGAAACTAACAATTACTGGACATGCACATGAGTAATTATAATAAACCAAGAACCATAATCTATAAACTAAACGAAAATTCATCTGAAGAAATTTTAAAATTCTTTCTATCACAACTAAATTGATAATATTTACTTCTTTCTCTTTAATCCCTTCAAATTAGTCTTTGCATGTCAGAACTCTGCAATGAAGTTGAAGCTACCAATCTCGATTTTACTTGCATCTAGTCAGTGAAACCTCACTTTGTGGGGAAGAATAACGCTAAACCTGATTAAAGACTAGGCCACTTTGTATTCAACAAAAATCTACAGACGGATAATGTTGTACTTTCTTTAATTCTAGTACAAAGCACATGTATGATCCCCTTTCATCAATATAACTCAAAGAAAAAAATGAAGAAAAAAACAGACATTTGACTAGGGTGTCACTTTCATGTCTCCTTTTCCTTTTAAAAAGTGCTTATATGCACTAATGTTAAGGACCTCACTTCAACTAGAGGCTTCAAGGCACTTTCTGTAATTTACACCTCACCTTATTACTTGAGCATGTGCCTTGCAACCCTGATGCCCATGTTAGCCATTACTCTTTACTATTTTGCAAAACTCTCTTCTGTGCCTTAAGTGCATTCCTCAACTTTCGGGGTAATAAAATGTATCATTGTTGTTATGTTCTCAATCATCATATCTTAAAAAGGTCACTATCCACTTTTTCTATCTACAATCATCTTTGGAGTTTGTGCACTAACTTGACTGTCAGAATAACCCTGCTGCAGGCTGCAGCGACCCTGATGCCTCTTTAGTCTTTTATTGTTTTGTAAGACTCTCTTTCATACCTAGTCCAGGCCTTGAGTTCATTCCTCAATGTTTGGGGTAATAAAATGTTTCAGTGCTGCTGTGTTCTCAACTCTCATGTCTTAAAATGGTTAAATCTTGTGGACTAAGCTAGCGCAAAAAAGGTCTTGAACTTTTAAAAGAAACAAAACTAATTTTGACAAATGAAAAACTAAGTGTCCCTAAAACATAATTGACAATAGCTTTAAGTAGGATGCAGTCACACTCACATTGTTTTAGTACATTATGTGATACTCAGATATGGATTCACGATTACCATAAACAAAAATTGCTAAAATCAAATCTAATGGGCATCAAAGTTTTCTAGTATAACATTTTCACCTGGAAAAGGCTTTATTTACTTCTTCTAATGCTGCGAATTGTCAAAGATAAAACCAAAAGCCATTCATTGAAAGAGACAGATAAGTGCACTATTTGGTGAAAAAATGTAATAACTTGAGTAGAATAGAACCTGCCACATGCTACAACAATATCATCAAATTTTACTCCATTGCTTCTTGCCTGAAGCTGCTGTTCAATTTCTCTAATTGCCTCAATATAGCCCCTAAAGATAGAAAACACAGTTATCTGTTTGTATTGGATCTAGAAAAGGAATAAAGACTTTAAAAGCTTAGTAACCATTGACAAGGAAAAAAAGATGATCAAGGAACCTATAATACAATCTCCTTGAAAAATAAAACATCTAATTTATTAAGGCCCTACAGTTAACTCCTTGAATAAAGGCTATTAGTTCTTGAAATTGTCCAGTTTGTTTTACATTTATCACGGCATTAGAGCAAACAACTTCAAGACCAAAGAAAACGAACTGTTGAACTTTGTCATCCCTTAACTGTTGCCTATATCCACAACATGACTAAAAAATATATAACAAAAAAGAAGACACCACACTCAGATGTGCCATGTCTCTCTATTCAAAAGCCTGAATGAATTTTCAAGTGCTTGTTGTTTATTCGTTGTCAATTTGACATTTTTCCATCATTTGTAATGCAGAACAAATAGGAGATTAGGGTTTGTAACTGTTTTCTGGTCTGAATACTTGAAGAGAAAATGGAAAAATAAAGAAAAGGGGAAAGAAAAAAAAAACTATTGTGTGCGAAATAAGGCAGAAAAAAATAAAACCAAGAAGGCTATTCAAGACTCAAAGAGTAGGATCCATGAGTTATATAGAAAACTAGAGACAAAAGTTAGAGAAAGAGAACTGTTTATAATTGCTAAGATGAGAGATAAGAAGAGTAGAGATCTTAATGGCATTAGATGCATCGAAGGCAAGGATGGAAGAGTTTTAGTGAAGGATGCAAAGATTAAAAAGAGATGGAGAGATTATTTTGATAATCTCCTTAATAGCAGTTTTGAGCATGATATAGGTGGGTTGAACATGCCTTCTCAAGATGTAAATTGTGTGTTTAAGCATAATATTAAAAGTTATGAGGTTAAAGAGGTTTTGAGAAGGATGAGATTAAAAAAGTTGTACAACCAGATGGAATCCTGATTAAAGTCTGGAAATGCTTGGGTGAAATAGGGATAAGATAGTTGACAGATCTATTCAACAAAATTTGGCATACCCAAAAGATGCCAAAATATAAGAAACTTAAAAAACAATTGTCCTTATTTCTTCGTATTCTATCTACAATGAAACGGTACATCTAAATAAATAGGAACAGTCAAGTTCCTTATTAAGAAACAACATACATGAAACCAAAAACAAAAAATAATAAAACGAAGGAGAATTATTCTATTCAAAAATAGAAACAAATCTCTAAAAACTTGACAATCAAAATAGTTGACTAAATCAGAAAAGTTAATGGGAAATATTCCCAAAATAAATTAAGAAATCAAGTTACATTAATGTAGGAGAATCAAAACTGCACTAATGTAGGAGAATTAGATTTCTACACTCCCCCTCAAGTGGGTTATGAATGTTAATCATACTCAACTTGGATTTCACTCCGTCAAAAATGCTTCTAGAGAGAGCTTTAGTCAAAATATCTACAATTTGTGACCTTGTAGGGATATAGGCCAATTTGACAGACCCATTTTCTATCTTTTCTTTTATGAAATGTCGGTCCAGCTCTATATGCTTGGTCCTATCACGATAAACAGGATTTTTGACAATAGTTATAGTAGCCTTATTGTCATAAAACAATGTCATAGATGTCACAGTTTGAACTTTTAATTCTCTAAGTAACCTCATTAGCCAAATTCCTTCACAAATACCATGGGACATTGCTCTAAACTCAACCTCAACACTGTTCTTAGCTACAACAGCTTGCTTTTTACTTCTCCAAGTGACCAAATTGCCCCAAACATAAATGCAATATCCAATAGTGAACCTTTTATCTATTACTGATCCAAACCAGTCAGGATCTGTGTACACCTCAACTGCCTTGTCCATTAATTTCTTAAAATATAGACCTTCACCAAGACTTTTCTTTAAGTACTGTAGGATGCGATGAACAGCTTTGAAATGCTCCTTGGTTGGATTATTCATGTATCTACTCACCATCACTACTGCAAACCTGATATCAAGTCGTGTGTAGGAGAGGTAAATAAGCTTCCCAATTAGTTTTTAGTACCGCCCTTTGTTCGAGAAAGCGCTTCCATTTTCACTTCCAATTTTATTCGTTGAGTCCATGGGTGTACGAGCAGGTTTGCATCCAATCATGCAGGTTTCTTTGAGTAGATTAAGTACATACTTACGCTGAGACACTGATATTCCATCCTTAGACCGAGCTACTTCCATCCCAAAGAAATATTTAAGGAACCCCAAGTCTTTTATTTCAAACTTCTTGGCAAGAAGTTTCTTCAAATCCTCTGTTCCTTCCTTTTGGTCTCTAGTGATTATAATATCATCCACATAAACAATAAAAATAACTCTTTTTCCTTCATTAGTGAACTTAACAAATATAGTATGGTCAGATTGACATTAAAGGAATCCATACCTCTTCATTGCCTTGGTCAACCGTTCAAACCAAGCCCGAGGAGACTGTTTAAGTCCATACAAAGATTTCCTAAGTTTGCACACTTTGCCATTGTTGTCTTGCCTTTCGAAACCAAGGGGAATTTCCATGTAGACATCCTCCTCCGAGTCACCATTTAAGAATGCATTCTTGATATCAAGTTGGCGAAAAGGCCAATCCAAGTTGGTTGCTAGTGACAATAGAACTAATTGAATTGCATTTGGCTACTGGAGCAAATGTCTTCTCATAGTCTATCCCATAGGATTAACTGAACCCTTTGCAACAAGTCTAGCTTTGAACCTGTTTATACTTCCATCTACATTATGCTTTATTGTGAAGATCCATTTACATCCAACCGGGTTTTTTCCTTTAGGCAAATTTGAAATTTCCCATGTCCCATTTTTCTCTAGTGCCTTGATTTCTTCAAGAACTGTTACCTTCCAATCTGGTTCATTGAGGGCTTCTTGAATATTTTTTGGAATTTGCACATTGTCAAGGTTAGTAGTAAGGCTCGAAAGTTTGGATTTAACCTGTCATATGAGATGTACTTGCAAATAGGGTACCGGTTGCATGATCTCACACCTTTTCTTAATGCAATAGGAATGTCAAGGTCACCGGTTGGCTCACAAGTTTCAATTTCAGATTCAATAAGGACATTACCTATGTTAGTTTCAAGTTCTTGGAGACTCAAATCAGGTTGATTTTTAGAAATGGCCTATGTACAATTGTCCACTTCTTGTGGTTTTTGCTTCCTTGAGTAGACTATTAGTTCTTTTGTTTTTTGTTGCATAACCTTAGGGTTTGAAGAGTCAATAGTTGTTTGAACAAGTTGGGTTTCGAAATCTGCATGGCTAATAGGTTGGATAGGTTGAAAATCTAGTTTTGAAGGGGCTAGTTAGGAATCTGGTTTTGAAGGGGTTGGTTGAAAAATTGGCAAGTCAACAGTTAAGAATTGATATTCCTGAGTAGTATTTTCTCCCTGAATATCATTCTTGTTGTAGTATGGAAGATTCTCAAAAAAGGTGACATCCATAAAGCTATAGAATTTTTTTGCGATCGAACTGTAAGTATACAACCTATAGCCCTTTGTTTGGGGAATACCAAGGAAGCATAGCATTAAGGCTTGGGATCAACCTTGCTGCGATTTTGTTGGCTAATATGAACAAAGGCAATGCAGCCAAAGAGTTTGATAGGAATGGAAGAGATCAACTGAGTTTGTGGGTAGGAAGCAAGGAGAGTTTGACAAAGTGTTTTAAAGCCAAGAACTCGAAAAGGCATTCGATTAACCAAATAAGATGCAATGAGGACAGCTTCTCCCCAAAAATATTTAGACACATTGGAAGTCAACAAGAGGGATCTAATCACTTCTATCAAATGTCTGTTTTTGCGTTCGGCAACCCCATTTTGCTGTGGAGTGTCAACGCAAGAGCTTTGATGGATAATGTCATGCTTGGTGAGGTAAAGGCCAAGAATAAAGTTGAAGCATTCCCTCCATTGTCAATTTTTAGGACTTGGATTTTGGCTTGGAATTGGGTTTGTACCATGCTATTAAAGTTTTGAAATATTTGGCTAATCTCGGATTTTTCTTTCATAAAGAATACCCAAGTGAGTCGAGTGTGATCATCGATGAATGTAACAAACCACCTAGAACCTTTGATATTGTTAACTTTAATGGACCCCAAATGTCATTGTGAATCATTGAGAAAGGTTGAGATGATTTATAGGAACGGCTAGGGTAGGTATTTCCAGTGTTCTTGGAAAGTTGACAAATTTCACATTGAAAATCTTTAGAGATGTTATTGAATAATAAGGGAAATAACCTTTTTAAGTATGAAATATTTGGATGTCCTAATCTATAATGCCATAACATGATAAGGTCACCCTTACTAGTACTAGAGGGTAAGGCTGTACAAGAGTTTTATGGTCTCTCAAGTGCATCATCTTGAAGAAGGTAAAGCCCTGCACATATCCTAGCATTGCCAATAATCCTCCTCGAGCCCAATTCCTAAAATTCACACAAGTTGGAAAAAAATTTAGTGACAAAACATTTATCCTTTGTAAGCTTACTGATAGAAAGTAAGTTACAACTTAAATTAGGAACATGGAAGACAAGGTCGAGTGTTATGTCTTTTGAAACTACAATAAAACTTGTTCCTACCACCTTTGAGAGAGCCATCAGCAATTTTTATAGCAGCACTATCATAGCAAGGTCTATATGTGTTGAATAAGGATGCATCTCCAATCATGTAATCTGATACTCCTGAATCAACAATCCAAGATTGTGTATTTCCCCATTGAACACTTAAAGCGTTTAGGAAATTCCCTTTTTGTGCTAGTAAACTAGTTCCAAAGGTTGCAGACTTATCTTGAAGGGTTTATTGGAACATCACCTCTTTGTAACTTTCCTCATGCCATACCTCTGCAAAAGAAAAAGATCTCACTCCTGCTAGCCTTAACGAAAACTCATGTGGCTACAGTCTAATGGTTAAAGCCCACTTGCTCTGATACAATGTAGGAAACTTAAAGAACAATTGTTCTTATTTCTTCTTATTCTATCTACAATGAAAGAGTACATCTAAATAAATAG